AAACTATTAATTTAATTGCTATCGTACGCCAATGTTTAATATTATTTAATTATATGAACCAAAAAAAATTGAAGTCATTATTTACTCATTTCTAAATAAAGTTAATTGAAAATAACAAGAAAATAACATTTATCTGTATGATTCTAATTAATATGTTAGAAAAGTCCCATTTTTCTGCATTTCTCATCAATCATCTGACTGGTTAATTCATCAGGATAACTTAATTCATAAACTACTGGAAGAAAATCAGTGCGTTCAATATAAAGTTATTATATTTTAAGACCAGGATAAACTATTATTATAATTACTATCAAATAACAAAAAAATAATTAAAACCAGATGAATTAGTCGAAAACCCTCGTTATCAAAGAATCACCCAACAGTTGTACATTAGTTTGAACTGATTAGACTAATTCATGTGGATCATATTCACGTTAACGTTCCAGTTCTCTATTAAATGCGTCATTCATTCTGCGATCTAGCGCTGGCATTCCTAGCCTGACTAACAAACTGCCGCACATGAGGTAACACATATCTTCGATCAAGAGCAAAGCCTGGTTATGAATCTCCTCATTCGCCTCAAGATTGGGATTTCTTGTGCTGACACGAATTCGATGTAAAATGTCTTCTGACATGTTATCTTTGTATTTGTTCCACAGGTTTCGTGGGTTCGATGGGAAGCATGTCGAAATGATGTTAGCAAATAATGTGCGTATCTGTCTTGGGGATGCAGAAATAATTTCTTCAGCGATTGTCGTGTCCCAATGAGTATCTTTTTCAAGCAAATTGAGCTCTTGACATGCTGCACGAAATGTGGGGCACATTATACCATTAACAGTTCGTAGTGATTCAAAGGATGTTGGCCCTCGAACATGTACCAGCAACAACCGCAAGTAGAAACATTCATCATTCTTCGGATGAACTGTGTAAATACGACCAAGATCATCAGTAGAACGCATATCTAGATGACCAGGAACTGCATCGCCTTGCTTCCGACGTTGAAATTTCTTCGATGTAGCGTTCCAAGTGTAATAACGTGGCATCTCCGAGTAAAGCAACGTTCGTGCGAACGGATCGCTTTGACAAATCGCAAAGAAACTGGTCAATGTTGTCTCTGGAGGTCGTTCGGCACGTACAACAGCATTCGACGCTGTGAAATATACTCTCTGACCGTTCTCTAGATGCACCCCCAAATGCACAACAGTGGGATGACGTTCGTGAATAGGGAATGAGAATATACGCCAAATTGTTTCATTGCTGTTCACATATCTACCAACTTGATAGCACGTAATTTCATCGTTGGTATTGGATGCTTGGATACCAAAAACCTCCATGTCGCTGCCTTTCGTGACATATTTGCAAATGTATTTAATTGACTTGACCGAATTGCAATACTCAACATTACAATGTGCCTTGAATGTTTTGGAAAGAAGTGGTGAATATGGAACAATCCAACTGTTGTCGACCACGAAATCGTTTCCTTTCACTTTAGTTGTGATAGTTCTACCATTATCATCTGGCGATCAACGCCGATACAGTGGATAACCATCGTTGCCAGTGATGGTCTCTGCCGTCAATTTTCGTGGATACCGTTTGGAACACTTGCCGTCGACCATGCACGGTGATTGGCGGCTAATGGTGCCACACGGTCCATGAATAATATTCGTGATTACAACCTCATGTAGGTCTGGATCGGTTTCAGGATCAGGAATCTCCGCACATATGATGTCATCTATTTGATCTGGCCGAATTCTTTCGACTAACCAAATTAGAATGTGTGCATGCGGCAAGCCTCGTTTTTGCCATTCGATTGAATACATCCAGCATCGAGTAGTCCCAAAGACGTGTTGCTTAACAATGTAATTCATCAGTGACCGGATTTTATGCTTGAAAACACGTGCGGTGACGTCGGGCCGATCACTTGATGTTTGTCCGGGAAGCAGCAGTTGAATAATATCCATCCATTTCGGATTACATGTAAATGTAATGAATAGATCTGGCCGACCATAATGACGAACATATGTCATTGCATCTTGCGCATATTCATGCATATGACGCGGGCTACCTGTGTATGTAGCCGGTAAAATAGTCAACCGACCAACATTTTCTGCATCTCATTCTGTGCTAATTGCATCGCGTAAATGGATATACTCTTCCGAACGTAATTTAGCTTGGTTCAACCGAATGAAAGTCAGGCGCTCCGTTTCGATTTTACCGTACATGTCAACGCAATATTGTTGAAGCAGTCGACGAAATCGCAACAAATAATTGTCAGAATTTTCACGAATCATCAAACGATGTGCGTAATAATTCATCGAACTAACCTTCTTGGTAGTTTCCTCACCTGAAAAAAATATAGTAAAATTTGTATTTTAGAAGAAAAATCCATGTCTGTATTCCTTGAAGGGGTAAACAGAATGTCATCACTAAGTTTTGTTCAATATTTTCTAAACCAATAACCCCTAATAGAGTTAACGACTCTTACAACTACTCTCTGCTAAATTAGGAGTGACAACTTTTTTTGGTTACCAAAAGCAAACAGAATAAAATGTATATCAAGTTAAAATGAAAACTATGACACTTACCATTCAATGGATTAATCATTTTGATATTGAAGTGATATCCATCGTTTCCTTGCCAAAACATCAGCGGGTATTGTAATGCGTCATATGAAAGGTGTGTTTCATATATTTTTTGTAGTTAGTATTGCAGTTAGTATTTTTTGTAGTTAGTATAGTAGCCCAGTATTGCATCGTGTAAGTACAATATCACGTGTTTCTAAGTTTTCACCAACAATCAGGATTGCCACTTCATCAATAGTTGGAGCATTAAATGTGCGTTCGTGTGTTCCAGCTGGTCATTTATCTGCTCTGATCACAACTTTATAATCATCGCTTGGCATGCGCTCTAACGCAGTCTTGAACAGCCTGACCAATGCATGATGTTCATGAAGCAGTTGCTGCAGATCTTGGAGAATTGCTCTTTTTGTAGCTGCGTTGATCCCTTGACGCCGGTCAAGTTGTTTCTCCATATTGCCCATGAAGTATATTTGCAAGAATTTATGCTGTGCATCTTCATGAGGTTGCAATGATCCAATGCGATGGTAAATCTGGCCTTGAATCTGTAAAGTCGAAGGCATAGTTAAATTTACAAATATTTTTTTTTCAAATGATAACATGCCATTTTTATTTTAGAGACAAATATAGAAATCTAACAAACTACATTCCAGCAATTACCTTAAATGTCGGATTATATCCATATTCTTCGATAATTTCCGCCCCAAAAGAAGTCATTTGAAAACAGACATTGTATTTTTGAGTGTTCGCTAGAAAATGTCGTGATTCTGGGGATTCGCCATTAAGCAAGGAACACAATGGCTCTGGTGGCGGAACCAATAATGGCAATTTCACTTTACCACTAAGGCAGCACAAACCAGGCATATCACCAGCAAACTTCAATGCGCCACAATGCTGGCAAACAACGTTCATTGGATCAATGCAAACTAAACGATGCAAGCTGTAGTCGATGGTGCAATCATATAGAAACGCTGCTCGATTCAAATCAACGCTTGAACCATTTCTTCTTGAACGTCGAAGATTATCCCTCTGTTGATCTGTACGATAAGCTCGACGATTTCTCGTTTCTAACCTAGCCGTTTCACGGGCTGCCTCTCTTTCCTCTTGTGTTTGAGTGGCACGAATTAAAGCCCTTCTTCGCTCCATACTAACGCGGCGCTCTTCTCGTGCAATGTCTCGTTCTTCATCAGATAATTGACTCGCGATGTTCCGTTGCCTAATTGCAGTACAGCTTCGCTGGGAAAGATTAGATCTTCTAGGACGTGGCATTGTTACTAATACTAATACTGAATATGTACTCGCACAAAACCACACAAAACAAACAAATATAACAGTAGCTGAACTTTCGTGACGTAGACATTGATTGACAATAGTTTAGATCATAGACTACTACTTTGGATACTGCACTTTTTAACCTTTGTAATTATATATCTTAGAAAATCATAGACAACATAAAAAGACATTTACGCTTTCGATAACTTAAATAATAAATCAGTTTTCGAAAATAGAAACTTTAATTTACGCAAAATAAAGTTATGAACGCACGCGTAAATGTTAACAATTTGTCATTATTTCTCAACGCAGGCATAAATATTTGAGGAACTACTATTTAAATCTGCTTAATACACTTTTGAACCTTTTTAATTGATAAAAAAAATACCGACAAAAGTTTTTTCACCCTTTTTAAATAGTTTACACAAAATACATTTCTGAACGCATGCATAAATGTCAATCACAGTATTTGACAGGATGACAGGAGGAAAACAAATGTTTGACAGGTACGAAACAAAGGAACATAATTAAATGGAAAATGATTCATTTTCATAATTATGTATTCGTCAAATTTTCATTGTTTTTAAAATGTATTCTGCTATTCAGGGCGGAGACAAATCCAACGAAACAAAAACCATGAAAATTGATCCAGCCGATCTCGAGTTATAAGTGTTGTAACAAACCCGTCTTTGTTTTATATATATAGATTGATAAACAGTTTCTAATGATAATTTTTATGCCTACCTTATACTGCAAAATCATGTCGTATTTAAAAGATGAAATTCAACTTATTTACAAACTACTTTGACTGATACTTGTAATATATAAACTACCAGTTCCAACAAACGAGTAAAGACCGCTCCGTAGCACAGTGGCTTAGCAATGAGTTTTATCTCTGGAAGTTGCAGGTTCGAATCCTGCACGGAACAAGTATATACAAATACTTGTTTGAAAGAAACAATTCTAATTTGGGGTCAAAGATTTTGTTAGTTTTGCATTTTTTTTAAATAAGATCATCATGCCCCGTAGCATTTCTTCACTCTTCATTTCTCACAATATTTGTTATATTGCAGCGCCTTGATTAAAATTCTAATTTTAGTTTGTTTATAAATGAAACAAAACAATTTGCTTTGAAATTGCCAAATTTTCAGTTTAACATTTTGAGGTTATTAAATTTTCGTAGTCTGTTTTAGTACAGGTAAGCACCATTGCAACCGCAACCGCAGCTACCCCCGTAGCTACCTCCGCAGCTACCTCCACAGTTCCAGCGATAGAAACAACACCACCAGCTGGAACCTCACCACAGAATCTAACAGCGCCTAGAATAGGCATTTGACCGGCTAATAGGGTAGCACCAGCTACGCCCATCTCGCCAGCGATAGCTACATCACCGATGCCTGAACCTCCATAGGGCGGACCAGCCAAGTAAGATGAGGTGGCTAAGCCCGTGGGACCAGCGAGACCGTATCCGAGACCAAGTCCAGGTCCGTAAGCAAAGTCATTGCCTAAGGCGTATCCGCAACCTGGGCCGTATTCAGCTGCATATCCTGGAGCGTAGCCCAAGCCAAGTCCATCCCCGAGACATTGGCTGTACACATTCTGGCAATGAAAACAAGTTCTTAAAATACTGATAAAAGTAACTAAGGAACTATTAAAAACAACGAAAAGAACAAAAATTTACAATTTCAAATTTTCTTTACATTTATGTAACTGGCAAAAATTAAAAAAGTAGCTGAATCAGCAAACTTGAACACAGAACAACAAAAAAGCAAAGGGAGACATGTCTTAGAATTGTATTTCGACTGTGTTAGGGCCGATTTGCTTTCTACCTTATATATATCGTCTGTATTATGGCAAACTTCGAAAAATTTCGTAATATAGAAAAAAAACGTGAGGTACTGTTTGGTTCAACTACTTTGTTTGCAAGAAGATGGTTTGCAGCATTGTATTTTAAAAAAAACCAATTTAAATTATTATTTTGGGATCAATTTTGTTTTATTTTTGTCACGTACACATGTAAGGAAACTTGAATTGCGTGGGATTGCTTCAGTAATATTTCAATATAGCCGGACGGCATCAACATCACCAGGAACTATAAAAACCAATCGAACCTTATTGTAGTTACACTTGTTTTCAATAAACAAAGCAAATATGTCTGCCAAGGCTATTATTTTGTTGTGCGCTCAAGCATTCATGGTTCAGGTAAGTAATATTGATTTAAATCTTAACTGTACCAATATTCTTAAAGTCGAAGTTTTAATTTACGCTCAAAACACGAGAGTCTGTTTTTATTTCTAAAAATTTTCCTGGACTATTAACAAAAAAAAAATTAAGCCGTGCTATTGAGGTAGGATTATCGCATTATCGTAATATGCAAGTGACTGTTAACGTGCTTGGCGATAAAAAACGTTAGGTATATTAAGTCTATTTTTAGGCATGGCATGCTCTTTTTTATACAGATTTCTTTCTATATTTAGAAAAGGTACACGATCACCTAAAAGATTTTTAAAGTTATTTACAAAATAAATTTTATGACTCGCATAGTACGCCAACGAGAGACAATCAGCTACCTAAAGTGCTAGATAAAATACGTAAAGACGTTGTTTTCATACGTGGTATCGCCACGCTGAAGCTATATTAGTACAGTGTTGTAGTATTGTAGCACGAATGGGTCAGCTCGACCCGGGAAAGGCCACGCTTTCACAGAATACCAGCATAAAATAGCAGCTTAATATTGCTGCGTTTCGTATGGTGAGTGTTGTGAGTGTGAGAGATCCCGAGACCCTTTTTTACTGGAAACGAGGAATTCCACCTTAGTCCTCAGGGATGACGTTTTGATTCTTAATCGAGGATAAACGCAGATGTCAAGGGCCCACAGCATCCACTTACCATCAGGTGGACTGTTTGCTCCATTGTCACCCTAATTTTATTTTAAAAAAACTTGAGTAATAAAATGCGTCAACAACCTATTTTACATCCTCAGAGCATCGCTGCCTACTGCTTGGGCAACGGACTGAGCTACGAAGGCACAATTAATGCTGGCTCTTGCGGTGGATTAGGCTGGGCTGGTTACGGTGTTGGTTACGGTGCTGATTACGGTGCTGGTTGTGGTCTAGCTGCCATTCCAACAGCTAGCGGTGGTGGTTTCCTTGTTGCCAGCGCGTCTCCCATCCCGCCTGTTGGAGTATCTGTTCTCTCAGAGAACGAGATCGGAGGAATCCTGACTGTAATTGGTGAGCAGCCTTTCCTAGGCGCCGTTGGTCTGGAGGGTGTGTTTCCAACTGCTGGTGCTGGTGCCGTCTCTTACGGCTGCGGCAACGGTGCAGTGGGCATAGTGAGCGAAGACATCGCCGCTTCTGCTTGGGGATATCCATCTGCCGCGGGTCTGGCCTACGGACCTGGCATCGCTGCCGGTATCGGCTTCGGTCCTTCTATTGTTGGACGTGGCTTCGGTGGCTGCGGATGCGGTTCTCTATAATAATGTTTCCCATTACCAAATATCACCTGTAAATAAAAAGTGTGAATACTAAAATAGTTATTTTTGTTTTTGTTTTTAAGCATCCTAATCATTAAAATATTAAAGAAACAGATAATATTACTTTTAAAACAAAAACAACCTTAGGTCCAGTTTCAGCATGTTCAATATAATACTCTTGTAACTGCTATAGCAATATTGCATAACCATCGGCTACAATTAAAGAATTTAAGTACTATTAAAAATTAGAGATATTTAAGTTACTGTAAAATTTCGTAGTGAAACGATCGTATAGTGCTTAGTTCCTCTGCTGAAGCTGCGTAGGTAGCTGCGGTTGCGGTTGCAGTGGTGCTCACTTGTACTAAAACGGAATATGAAGCATTATTTAACTCAAAATGTTAAACTGAAAAATTGGCAACTTCAAAGCAAATTGTTTTGTTTCAGTTTTAAACAAATATTGCAGCGCCTTGATTAAAGTTTTCCGATAGGTGGAAGAAATATTACTCCGTAGCACAGTGGCTTAGCAATAAGTTTCAGCGCTGCCTCCAGCACTGAAACTTATTGCTAAGCCACTGTGCTACGGAGCCGTCTTTACTCGTTTGTTAAAACTGAAAGTGTATACATATATATATATATATATATATATATATATATATATATATATATATATATATATATATATATATATATATATATATATATATATATATATATATATATATATATATATATATATATATATATATATATATATATATATAATTGTTTACTCAAGTTTTAAAGTTTACTTTCAAAGAATGTTTTTAAAAATCAAGCTGAAATAAATAAAATACACCCTACTCTGATGGAAATTATATGGAAAAATAATAACATTTGAAGCAACTATAACATTTCTCACCTCACCTCACAGAATGAGGAATTAAACATAAAATTGAACAAATGGAACTCCAAACCAAAAAAGACAAAGATTATATAACTATATTGGAGGACAACATCGAGGATCTACAACGCGAAAACCGAAAGACAGCCATCGAACTGAAAAATGTTCCGAAAATCACTAAAGAATCTAAAGAGGACTTAATTAAGATGGTTTTAACTTTATCTAAAAATATTGATTATAACCTTGAGAAAAACGATATCAAAGACATCTATAGAGTCCGGAGTAAACGTGACATTAATAAAAGTCCAATCGTTGTTGAAGTGACGTCAACACTACAAAAGCCGGAGTTTCTAAAATGATTAAGTATTTCAGAATAAAGCAAAAGGAGAAATTGTGTGCCAAGCATCTAAGCTTCACCACCGACGAATATTCCCCCGTATACTTTAGTGAGCATCTGACAGCAAAAGCAGCATGATTGCATTTTCTTGCTCGTGACCTTGCTAAGATAAAAGAGTATAAGTTCTGCTGGTCTGCATATGGAAGAATTTATGTTGGGAAAAATGAGAGTTCACCTATAATTTTAATTAAAAATGATTCACAAATTCAAAAAGCCTTATGCAAAAAGCATCACTATTTGTACTATTTATTTTGTATTGATATATTTTTGTTTGTATGTTTATTGTTCTTGTAAAATTAGTGTTTCTAAAATAATTAACCTATATAAATGTGAAATTGTTATTGTTATCATAATGTAAACACACACATATAAAAATAACACACGTCACACATATCCATCCGCTCTCATAAATATATTAAACAAACTCATCTTGACCATATTTACGAACTATTCACATTATACCTACACATATCATAAAAGTACTCCTTTACAATCAATACATAAACACTTAGAATTAAGAAACGTAATGCAAATTATATATAAAGAATCTGAATTTAACACTGATTATGGATAGTTCTACTTTACATGAATTGGACGATATAGGCATTGCACAATCCAGTGAATGTCAGTTCCAAGACTTTATAACATAAGAAATAATACATAAATCCGATATAACTATTATATCACAAAATATTCGGAGTATTTACAGATACTAATTAATTTCATTTAATTAGGTAATTGCAGTCAGGGATGTGACAGTGTGATGTCGCTCGGCAACTAAATCTATCCCGTTTTTCAGCTCGCAAAAGATCTTTAAGCATTCCTACGAACAGAAGACGAAAGAGAAAAGGAAATTGCAGTGCATAGACCTGCAACTGGTCTAAAATTGACCGCACAACATCGCAGAGATCGATTGCAATTTGCACGCGATCATATTGATTGGAACGATCGATCAATGGAGCAGGTTAATTTTTTAGCATGAGACGAGAGTATATCTTTTCTGCAATAATAAACGCAGAAAAGCATACAGAAGGCAAGGGGAACAATTTGCATAAGCCTGTATTGACAAAAACAGTTGGATTCAAGGGTGGCTCATGCATGTTCTGGGGTGGCATGTCAGGCGACGCCAAAACCAGCCTAGTCTGCGTTTCCCGGAGTGGTTTCCCGGTGCTCGTGGTCAAGGGTCGCTGACTGCTCACCGAAAAATTATGGAAATCCGAGAAGCGTTTGTGGTCCCATACGCGGGTTCTGTTAGCGATGGATTGACATTATTGCCTGACAACACCCGCTGCCACAATGCAATAATTGTACGTGATTACCTTCTAGAGATCGGTATCTCTGTTATGCGGTGACCGGCGCAAAGTCCAGACATGAACCCGATAGAGCACCTCTGGGATGATGTAAAGTAGCGAGTGCGGACTCGTAATCCTGCCGCAACCACATTGCAAGAACTCGAGGAGGCTATCATTGTGGAATGGGACAAATTCCTCAAGAACGCATTGTTAAGTTATTATTTTAATGAAAAACTGTATGGAAGCAGTAATTAAGGTAAGGAATGGTAACACAAGGTTTTAGACCGTTTCAAAACATATTTTTATTTAATTATGTAAGTTGCAATAAATCGTAATTAACCATTATTTTTGTATAATGAGTAAATTTAATTACCTTATATATTCATTAATAGCATACTCATTGACTCACCATTGATTAAATGGATTTAAAAGTAAGGTAGACTGGGTACGGTTGAAACGGGAGACGATTGAAACAAAGCGTATATCTCGACACCGTACGTGATGGGGTTCAGGGGTATAAGGATAGAAAGGAGCGGGTGCCAAATCGAAACACGAATTTAAATGTTGCGTCGCTCTTCGCGCGCTGTGTTTATATATAGAAGGCCTCATTGTGTTTTTTGACGGAAAAGTAAGTATTTTTTGTTCGTACATTTTTGCAATTATTATGGTTTTATTGAAGTTAGAATATTCAGTGTTTTGTATCGTTTAAATTGAAGTTTGTAGAATGGCTGTATGATTAGTTTTTATTCAAATTTGTTGTCATTCTTACTGTGAACCGTTTTCTACTAAGAAGGGGGTTGGGGACAGTTGAAACATTTTTTGTGGGTACAGTTGAATCAGTTCGTTTATTTAATTTTCTTGTTTCTTAGATGCGAAAAGTACGCCAAAAGTACTACGAAAGATGAGGCCGACTTATCAAAACATAAACAAGCCTATGAATATGTAAAAGCCCAATCTTCGTTAGGTAAAGCGGCACAAAAGAGTGGACTGAACAACTGTTCCCTGTTGAGGTATGTACGTAAACGAGATGCGACTGGTGACGATGAAAATCAAGAAATGGATTTTAAGGCTCACAATCGAATGTTTAAGCAGGGACAAGAGCGTGAGCTATCTAAATATTTAATTAGATATGCAGACATACATTTTGGCCTAACTAAAAATGATGTTGTGAAATAAGCATACGAACTAACCGTCAAGTACGACTTATCAAGACTTGGTTTTGCATGTTTATGAGAAGAAATCCGGAGCTGTCAGTGCGTGCAGCACAGACTACATGTCTTTCTAGGACGACTAGCTTAAAAAAATAACGTAGATGTTTTCTATAACCATTTGGCTACTATCATGGACCGTTATAAATTTGAATCTACTAAGTTTGTAAAAGGGGTTATTATAATATTAAGGAATTTATGGATGAACCCTCTGGGAAGGGTGATCGCAATCAAGCTATTTCTAATTTGTCTTGTGTTTTTAATTGTAAACATAATTGTAAGCTATTAGTCGAAAAAAATAGTCCCGATGGGTTTCTAGCTGGTTCTTCCCAGGACAGAGGTTTTTTTTGAGAACCAGTGGTAAATGAAAAAAGTGACTTTCAATAAGTATTGTTATAATATACATTGAATAAAAAGGTTTCTGTTTCTGTTTCAATCCCAAAATATATATAATGCTTGACTTGAATATTAATAAAAAATATTTGTGATGTTCAAATGTGCCGCTACGAGTAGTAAAATGTTATAAGACGATTAATAAAACATGTTCATTTATTATATTTTGTATTATTTGCATGTGTTTCAATTGACCCCAGGCACTGTTTCAACCGACCCTGGCTGGGGACGGTTGTAACAAATTACACTTTTTTTTAAATTTGATTTTACACGTAAAATACAATACAATGATCTCAAATAACATTGCCTATTAGTAAACAGATAAATGGTCTTTTATTAAATATATTTCGTTTATCGCTCGCTTAACTAATTCCGACGCAAATGACGATAAGCGTTAAAATGTTTCAACCGTACCCAGTCTACCCTAGTTTGAAGTAGAAATTTAAAGAGGTGCGATTTTTGTGACGCCGAGTGTATTAATACATACTACTATCGTTATAGATTTAAATTTAAATTCATTGATACATATGATTTTTTATGACAATAAGAGTTGTTTAAATAATAACTAAGAGTGGGCTTGCTCAAAGTTTATTCTGGTACTATGAAATGCAAAATGTAACTTAGAATTTTCACAATAACATTGTTATAACATAAAATTCAGACGCCAATTTTCTTAGACGCATGACGAACGGCTTAATAACGATAGCCACAACACCACATCCGCCGGCGCATCTTCCGAAACCGTATCCAAGACCATATCCATATCCAATACCGGTGCCATAGCCAATACCAGTGCCATAGCCAATACCAGTAGGATAGCAAGCACCGGTACCAAAACCAATACCGGTACCATAATCAATACTGTCACCACAGCCAATACCGGTACCATAGGCAACACCGGTGCCATATCCAATACCGGTACCATAACCAATACCGTCACCACAGCCAATACCGGCATCATAGCCAATACCGTCACCACATCCAAAACCGGCACCATAGCCAATACCGTCACCACAACCAATACCGGCACAGTAGCCAACGCCGGTACAATAGCCAACACCAGTGCCATAGCCAACACCGTCACCACAGCCGATACCGGTACCATAGCCGTAACCAAGGCCTAGAATCGATCTACAGTCATTGCCTGCTGCGGGTGCGACGCGGAGACGGGCGCCGTGAACATTCAAGAAACAAAAGAAGCAAAGAATTTAACCTTTTTATGAAAATTTGTATAAAAAATATTAAAACATGGATGTTTTGAGAGTAGCAGATTTTACTTCGAATAATTAATTTTAAATATTCTCTTGCTAAGAACGAACTAGCGTTGCTCAACAACTGTATATATTATGTGCCACGGTTGCAAAGCTTTGCAGGCGGGTTGCCAGACGTAGTTTTTTATTTTCTAGTTGTTATTAGGAAGATGCTTCTGCCAATATCTTAACTTGTTAACTTCCTTCATCTCTCACGAGAGAGAGTTTATTATTGGTGTTTTAAGTTGTCTCTCACGGCACCTAAAGGACTGTAACGGGTGACGAATTCTCTTGCGCCGCCAACACACGGCACACAAAATTATACTGCTTTAAAGTTATAGGTTTTAACATGAATGTATTATTTTACTAATAGCACATTTATTAGAAAACTATGCTTAAAAATAATAATGTATTTTACCTGAACCAAGATAACTTGGACGCAGAAAATAAAGAAAGAGAAGCTGGACATGTCTGGTAGTTGCTGTAAAGGATGTAGTTTCCTGAATAATTTGTAACTATAATCGACACATTTATATACTTTATTAAAGTTCAATTTAGGTGGAAAAAAAATTTGTTACATTCAGAGATCCGCATAAGAATTAAAGAACTTTAATGGGTACATCGCTGGCGGAAGATTACCTATTGGCCCGGTAAATAAAAATATAATGCAATACTTCACAATACAGAACCTCAATGCAACAAATTAACTACGGTATTGTATTTGCGTTACACAATGACATTTTTCAGATAAACAGGAACGTGATCATGAAAGTTATATGTCAAGGTCCACTACTGAAATCAAAATTACAGGTGCATTTTATCAGTTTTCTTTGATTGAGAAATAACAATTTTTGAAGATGGTTAGAAAATTATTAGTTGTTAGCTTATTTACTATTATTATTTTTTGAATTGTTATCGGGCTGATACTGCCACCATCTTCTGTTTCATTACCCTCCGTCGCCTTTTCCTACAGTCACAGGATGATATTATGAAGTGAAGATTTCCCTTACGCTGATATTTTAAGTTAAATTATTTAAATAGACGATGCCGAACGATGTCGAAGGTTTGAGGCACGCATGGTACTATGATATTACTTTTCTCAACTTTGACAATTTCGTACATTAATAAATTAATTTTCTCTTTTTTCTGTTTTATTTGTCTACTTCTTGTTATTTTCCTACCTAGTCGTCAACCCGACATAAATGGAATACATTATTAACAGAAAAAACTTTTTGTCACACACATATCAAAACAAACAGCGTTTTGCTATTATTTAATGTTGGCATTCTGCGAGAATGTGGTTCCTACCCGGTCAAGACTACCTATTTTCTTTGCAGCCACTACAGAGTTAAAACTTACCGTATATTTATTACTGCACAAAGCGTTTTCTAGTTAATATAACAAAATTAAACTTTTAAATACCGACTTTCAAATCTAAGAATAATAAAACAATTTCTACACAATAGTTACTGAAGTATAGTGTATCGAATAATTAATGCCAATCATATGGAACATATAAGAAAATTATTTCCAAAGATAGATTTTTTTGCTTTTTGGTGGACTAGTGCCCAAATACTCAAACGCTGCTCAATTGTAAGTCACGTGCTGTCTCCAATTTCATGCAATTTAAGTTAAAATGTGACTGTGACACCATGAGATTTAAAGATATCTTAAAATTGAGTAGCGTTTGAGCATTTGTTCATTATAGTGCCGGGTAACTACAACAGTATCGTCTAAACTCTAAAAAATTACATTAAAAATTTTCTTACCACATTTTCCACCGTTAAGGCTCCTATACTACCTATTTAATAAACAAAAATAAGTCAAATTTTTTCTGAGAAATCGGTGAACATACAAAAATAACACACACTTCGAATCTTATACATATAAAAGACGATGTATACATCCTCTTAATGTGTATATATGTGATATGAAATCGTTTAACTCAAAATCTATTTGATCGATCACCATGAAAATTGGTTTTTACTTATAAACTTAAAAAAATGAAAATAATTAGAAACAAAAAAATTTAACATTTTTGATTGTATTTGCTTTTTTTCAATCAAGCGCGGTTATTAATAAATTAAGCTACATGCGCTAAAATAAAAATAAAAACGTTGCTGTACCTATGATATTAAGTGGTAGGACAACGTCTGTCAGTTACTATCATAGGTGGTGTTCAGTAAGTAAAGTAAAGTTACAGCCTATATACGTCCCACGACTGGGCATAGGCCTCCACTCATTTGCCCTAAAACCCTCTCAGAAATGAGTTGCCCGCCGCGCTGCCTCAATGCGTGTTGGCGAACTTCAAATGTCTCCCAAATATTTTGTTCTTATTCCTCAGACATGCAGGTTTCTTCACGATGTTTTCCTTCACCACCGAGCACGTGGTTAATCAGCACTTAAAATTGCAATTAACAATTTCATTGGTGACAGCGGGGATCGAACCCAGGTTACTCGCGTTCTGTTACATTTACAGCGAGTGTTAAACATCTGAGCTACCAAGGCTCAGGTCTTCAGTGTTATCCTATAAACGTCCTCGTTTTTTGAACTCGGTTAAGAAGTATTTACAGTGTTTTAGAATCACATTTTATTTTCCCCTCGATCTCTGCAAAAAAGCAGAAGTAAATATGAGGTTTAAATGATGCATCTCAATCAAAAGTAGTTGGGTAAAAGGATCTCTAACAATAAAAACAATGAACTATTTTTACCTTTACAAGACTTCTGGTGCGTAAATATGAATCAAAAACGGGCATTCCGTTTATCCATCAAAATCATCGTTATCAACATCATTTAATTTAGTACGTACTTAACGTTGCACTAAAATGAATAATCTTGTGTGCCTACTTGTGAACACATCATCCCATAATTGAGATAGCCCAACCGTCATCGTAACAAGGGTGACGGGCCCCGGCTTTGTCGGCTAACTAGTTTTTTTTGTTCTGTGTTCTTAGCGGTAATAACTGCCCAGGGACGCGAGTGAGCCACGCTAAGTTTTAAACAGTTTGTAAAGCAAACCGTTGGGCAAGACTCTGTCAAATGCTTTCGCGATATTGAAGAAGAGGGCACCGGTGCTAGAGGTTCTACGATTTTTTGAGAGCTAGAAGCCTTTAAGAATATACTCTTCGAGCCGATGTAACTGATTGGTGCACAAGTTTTCGAGTCTGAAGCCGAACTGCTTTGGGAGAGGCTTGTTTGTGAACACATATTTGCGAAGGCGATTCAATATGATTCGCTCGTAAACTTTACCCAGTGTGCTGAGGAGACTAATGGGTTTCAAAATAGCTAAAGGTTTAATTTTTCGGTTTCCCTGGTTTTGGGATTCATATAACGTCCGCCTCTTTCCAAGAATCCAGTGAGAAACCGGTGAAGGAAATCGCGTGGAAAATGCCTTCTAGGAGGCGCTGAGAGTGATTTCAACAGCCTGTTGCTAATGCAATAGAGGCCTGGTGCTGATCTCCTTTTGAGACTATTTAATTAATTCTGTGACTTCGTTGAAATGGTTTTATATTAATATTCCAATGAATATGTAGTCCTGTGTGGCATTCCTTTTATTTCTGCTTTAACCTATCAAACAAGAACTATGTATATATTTTATAAGTATTTTATTGTCTATTATAGGTATGCTAATGTCCACTAAATATCTTTGGTTTTTACTCATGTTTCTTTAAATTTATTAATGAAATCTAATATTGTAGTTTAAAAATAATATTTAACATTTTTATAATTGCTACGCCCAAACTGGGTTCTAATGCGGACAATTTTTTTTAAAACATCTATTATTACCATTTGATTGCAATATAGATTATGATTATGACCGTACACAGCCGAGGGAGAAAATCAGAAGAAAAATAATATATGAAAGAGATTTATTTAATAATAATTTATGTAGAAATTAAATAACTAGTAAATATTGAGAGGAACATTTTATATAAAATTAAATTGGCAAACGAACTTGCAATCCACCTGTATGTAAATGACTACTACACTCCATCATAAAGTAACATGGGCCACTGTGGTACTGGACGCAGTCCATGAACGGAAATAAGGCGCTTTCTTGCACCATGCTTCTTTTGTCTGTTATTATTAACTAGCCTATCAGATGTGTCGATTACATCAAGTCCACATATTATTGACACATCGGAGTTCCACTAAGCCCTACCTCCTCCGCGATCAGCACGACAATTCGGGCTCTGCCTGCATGTCAGTCAGTAGCAGATAGTTCACGTACACGCTGTCTCAGGATTTCTTAGGCAGCACACCGGTTAAGCTTTTGGTACAACCCTGATTCAATACAGTGTGACTTCTTTCATTAACTAAAATAAATTAAAATCAGCTGAAAAGGATACTGTATTCATCGCTGGCACTAGAAGCTGGAGAGTTCTTTGAAAATGTAAGAAAATAAAATCTTCAACCTTAGAACTTTTTTTTAGTTTCACAAAACTTATAAGTACGTAGGCCGTATAATATATATTGTCTTTGGTGCACGGACTTCGAGTTTTGTTTTGTTTTTTGCACTAAATAAGTGTTACAAAAAAAAACAAACATAAACACTCACGCTTGTCACCCAGAGGGGTAGGCAGAGACTACAGACTTCCATTTGGCACGATCCACACATCTCTCACCTCCTTCACATCCATACACCTCCGCATACATGCTCGTCGGTTAAGGGTACTCCTAATTTGGCCCGTTTTCAATAAATCGCCAATTTGGTCGATAAATTTTCGCCTAGGACGTCCCTTTCCGACTCTGCCATTCACTTCTGCAACATAAATTTTCTTTTTCTCTCTTTCCTCATTCATTCTTTCCACATGACCAAACCACCGAAGCATTCCTTCCTTAATCCTGGTCACAACATCATCTTGCAAACCACACTCTTCTCTTATTACACAATTTCTTACCCTGTCATTAAGATTCAGCCCTAACATACTCCTTAA